ATACTTGCCTTATTCTACTTGAAATTATAACTTGTGCTAGATTAGGAAAAGCATGTTAGTTGAATTGATTGCCTATTTGCTTAAGTTGTTTTGACTGTTCTACGTGAAGCATGCTAGGCTAGTTCTATCTGTGTTTGTATTTCGTACTTCATTCCTTGGTATATTTCTGGCTGTGGTTGTGCATTTACATTGGGACTACTGATGTGGGATTCCGGTAGCTTCCCCCCCCCCCCTTTGTCTATTTACTTTGGGACTACGGGTTCGATTCCCGGTAGATCCCCCTGCCCTTTTACTTTGGGACTACAGGTTCGATTCTCAGTAGATCCCCTTGCATTTTTACTTTGGGACTGCGGGTTAGATTCCCGATAGATCCCCCTGCACATGGATGGTTGGACTACGGGTCGGTATCCCGGGAGATCCTTCGGTTTGGTACATGAGTTGGACTACGGGACGGTATCCTGGGAGATCCACTGGACAGTTGAGAAAAGGGCTACAGGACGGTATCCCGGGGAGACCCTCATTGGTATCATTGACATTGAGCTGTATTTACTCTGTGTTTACTCTGTCTTTTGTAGTTATTATTACCTCGTTGACCTGCCTTATCTCACTGCTGTACTCATTATTTCTATCAGATTTTCATACTGTTAATTAATATTATATTTTATCTCAGTAGGGCCCTGACCTTCCTCATCACTACCCAAGCGAGGTTAGGCTTGGCACTTACTGAGTACCGCTGTGGTGTACTCATGCCCTTCCTGCACATGCTTTTCATGTGCAGATCCAGGTACCTCTTCTCACGTGCACTATCCTTGAGGCGAGGAGATATACGAAGACTTCGAGGTATATCTGTAGCGTCCGCAGACCGAAGAGTCTTCTTCCTTATTCTAGTTGTAGAGTTGTTATCCTATCATACTTTTGATGTAGATTGTAACGACCCGACCGATCGTTTTGAGTCCTAGCGCTCTGTTCAGCAGTCGGAGGCCATGAACAGCTTCATTTCTAGTATTATGACTTGTACGCGTGGTCGGAATTAAGTTCCGGGAAGTTCAGAGTTGATTTAGAAAGAGAATCTTCATTTGGGAAGCTTACAGTTGAAAGAATGAACTAGGATTGGATTTTTGAGTAAACGACCTCGGAATCAGGATCTGAAGGTTCCAGCAGGTTCGTATGATGATTTTGGACTTGAGCGTATGCCCGATTCGGGTTTTGGATAACCCGGGAGTGTTTTGGCGCCTATTGTGGAAGTTAGTATTTTAGAAGAAATTTCATAAGTTTGGCTTGAAGTGCATTTTAGTGTTATCGATGTCCGTTTGGGATTCCGAGACTATTAATAGCTCCGTATGGTGATTCTGGAGTTGGGAGCACGATCGGATGTGAATTCGGAGGTCCGTAGGTCATTTTGGAGCCATTTGACTAAAGATAGAAATTTGAAGGTTTTTGAGAAGTTTGACCGGAGGTTGACTTTTTGATATCGGGGTCGGAATCCGATTCCGGAAGTTGGAGTAGGTCCGTAATGTCAAATATGACTTGTGTGCAAAATTTGAGGTCAATCGGACGTGATTTGATAGGTTTAAACATCGAAAGTAGAAGTTGGAAAGTTCAAAGTTCATAAAGATTGAATTGGGTTGTAATTCGTGATTTTAGCATTGTTTGATATGATTTGAAGCCTCGAGCAAGTCCGTAATGTGTTTTGGGATTGGTTGGTATGTTTGGTTGGGATCCTAGGGGCCTCGGGTGAATTGCGGGTGATTAACGGATCGAAAATGATTTGAAAAAAATGCTGAGGTTTTCTGGTTGCTGGTATTTCCGCTTCTGTGGAAAAGGGACCGCAGAAGCGGCCCCGCAGAAGCGGAATGGGAGCCGCAGGAGAGGTTTATGGTCAAGGCTTGGAGACTGCAGATGCGGTCAAGGATCCGCAGAAGCGGGACCGCATCTGCGGAGGGAAGATAGCAGAAGAGAAATGAGAGGGAGCCGCAGAAGCGGCTGGTTTTCCGCTAAAGCGGAACCGCATCAGCGGTAATATTTCCTCAGAAGCGGAAATGTCTGAAGGCACAAGCTTGTTTAAAATCGCGATTGGGAGTTCATTTCTCTCATTTTTCATGGCTTGGAGCGATTGTTGGAGAGCTTCAAAGAGGGATTTTCGTCGGCTATGCTAAGGTAAGTGATTCCCACCCACTTTTGAGTTAGAAACATAGATTATGTATGGATTTAGGCATGAAAAATTAGTGTAAAAATGGAGGTTTTTGGTGGAAACCTAGAAAATGATATTCTTGGAATTTAGTCATGAATTTGAGCATGGAATTAGGAGTAAATTGTATATTTGAGCTAGTGAAGCCATGTGTAAACTTTATCTTCGAAAAATTTCGGATTCCGGGCACGTGGGCCCGAGGGCATTTTGGTCATTTCACTAAGCGGAGTTGGGAATTAGTATAATTTGAATTGTTAACAGTATTTGAGTAATCTCATTAGTTTGTCTTTAATTGGCTAGTTTTGGTGCATTGTGCGTCGGTTCAAGCCTTCGGAGGAATGTAGAATGCCGGTCATGGATCTTCGGAGCGAGGTGAGTCTCCTTTCTAATCTTGTGAGGGGGAATTTACCCCATAGGTGAGTTAAATTGGTTATGTGCTCCTATTTGTTGGGGCTACGTACGCACGAGGTGACGAGAGTCCGTGCGTAGCTACTATTTGCTATTGTCCGGGTAGCTAGGACACAAAAGCATGAATACTTGAATTAATTGTAAATTCTTGGATAGCTCAAATTGCTTGTGCCACATGGAATTTGTAAATGAATTTCTAAAGAGATTTAACCTTACTTGTAAAATTTTGTTAAAAGAGGAATTGATATATATATATCGATAAACACTCCCTGATAAGTTCTTACTTGATTGATTGAGCAAGCTATATTTGGATTAATTGTGAACTCCTTTGAGGGTTTGAATTGCTTAAATCACATTAAATTAATAAATGGATTTCTAAAAAGACTTAAGCTTCGCTTCCTCGGATTATGTAAAGAGAGTTGGATTTATTTTGGAACGGGCCGAACGCCTCGGCAGATTAATGGATGCATCTATAGGCACGCCGTCGACCCTCGGCAAGTGTACATTTCCTTTCTGTTGGAGCGGGCCGTCGCCTCGGCATGATTTGCGCATGATATTTGTGTATATTGATGCATGAGAAATTTTAAATGAAGATATTGCCTTTCATGGCGTGATGTAAATGGATAAAATAAAGAAGAGTAAAACTTGAAAATCCCTTATTACTTGTTGAAGGTGTATTGCCTATTTTACAGCTTTGTGAGTTAAAACTGTATATATATAATCCATGATTCCCTCACATATTTAGCATATTATTATTGGACCGCTAGTGAGTGTCCAGGTTGACCATCTCGTCTCTACCTCTTCGGGATTAGGCGGGATACTCACTGAGTACACGTTGATTACGTACTCATACTACACTTCTGTGCATTTTTGTTGCACGGGTTTATTCTACATTAGATAGCAGCACGGATGATCTGGGGACAAAGTGAGTTGCAGTATGCAAGGCGGCCCGCAGCTTTTAAAGCCCTTTTCTAGTGAATTGTATTTCCTTTCTGTCCATTGTATTCCGGACGGATGTTGTGCTGTATTTTATATCCTTATCAGTAGTTGCTCATGCACTTGTGACACCGGGTTCTGGAATGGGTTTTCTTTGAAAGATGCGTATTATTAGTTATTTCTTCATTCAAATTGAAACAGAGGTTATTTTATATATGAACAATGGGATAAAAAACTCTTAGATTTCAAAGTTATTAAAAGAGAATTTAAATTGATAATGTAGTTGGCTTGCCTGACAACGGTGTCCGGCGCCATCACGATCCGTAGTGGATTTGGGTCGTGACATAGATATTCTTGAGATTAGAGTACTTATGGTAATTCTATTAGCCTGTGTTTCCCGTGAGTTTCCGGGTTTTTCGGATTGAGTTGTAGACTTCCGCATATCTTTAGAGTTGTATAGGCCGGGCGGCCTTATATTCAGTTGTTATTTTTCATATGTTCATCTTTAATTGATTATTCCTCAAGTTAAATTGTTATTTCCGCACTGTTAGGCATACCTAGTTGTAGGAACTAGGTGCCATCACGACATGTTCATGGAGGGTGAACGGGGGTCGTGACATAAGCTTTGTCTTATTTTCATCTCCTTCAAGTCCAATCGAGCTTCTAAGTTGTCTTTAGACTTTTTACCAAGATTCAATAGTGTATAAATGAAGTTATCGCACACATTCTTTTCTATGTGCATCACATCAAGATTATGGCGCACCAAGTTAAATTTCCAATAAGGAAGATCGAAAAAAATACTTCTCTTTTTCCATGTGTTTTTCATCACCCCACTTACCCCTTCACTTGACTGGCCGAGAGTAAATTTTATATCTTTAACTTGATTCAGCACTACTGACCCAGATACTGGAGAAGGTGCAGGTCTTGTTTCTTTAGTCCCATCAAATGATTTTGCATCATTCCGATATTTGTGTCCCGACTTCAAGAAGCGTCGATGACCCATGTAACAAAACTTTCTACCATGTTTTAGCCTTCTATATTGAGTGTTTATGTTACAAGAAGGGCATGCAAACCGACCATAAGTGCACCATCCAGAGAGAGTACCATATGCAGGAAAGTCATTTATAGTCCACATGAGAGCTGCTCGCATTTGAAATATCTCCTTAGTAGAGGCATCGTATGTTTCTACCCCAACATCCCATAATTCATTTAACTCTTCTATTAGAGGTTGCAAAAATACATCGATATTATTGTCAGGCTCTTTGGGTCCAGTAATAAGTAAGGACAGAATGAAGAACTCTTGTTTCATGCACATCCATGGAGGAAGATTATATGGCATTAAAATCACTGTCCATGTACTATGAACAGTTCGCATTGTGCCAAATGGATTAAACCCATCAGAAGTTAATCCTAGGCGCACATTGCGAGGGTCTCCAGCAAATTCGGGATATTTACTATCAAATTTTTTCTAAGCTTCAGAATCTGCAGGATGTCGTAGAACTCCATCTTTGTGGCGCTCTTCATGATGCCAACGCATTGCTTTAGAAGTTTCCGAAGACATAAACAGTCTTTGTAGACTTGGTTTTAAAGGAAAATACCTTAGGACCTTGGCTGGGATATTTCTAGCATCATTTTTCCATCTAGAAGCTCCACAAATATTGCATTTATTTACATTCTTATTAGCAAACTCTTTCCTAAAAAGCTGACAAGCATGAATTTTCTCATACTTTAAGCCCAAGCCTTCAACTATCTTTTTGGTCTCATAGAAAGAAGGAGGCAATTTTTCTCCTTCAGGCAGCGCATCCATCAATAGTCCAAGCAAAGCATTAAACAATTCATTTGACCATTTGAACATATATTTTGTACGGCACAGATGCATCAAAAAGGACATTTTGCTAAATTTCTTACATCCTGGATATAGTTCTTCATTTGCCTCCTTCATGAGCCGTTCATACTTATCCACCTCTGGATGCGGTTGATTTCCAGATGGATGAACAGTATTCTCTTGTAAGTTATGCTCTATGTCACCCCCTTCACTAACGTCGGTATCCATGAACTGTGTAAATCCTCCAAAGGCATCATGTATCATTCCTGTCATATCATCGCCCCTTAAAGTTGTTTGGCTGCGATTATTTGCTTGAGTATTGTTTGATCCCTTTAGAGACTCACCATGACAAAACCAAGTATCATATGATGGCATAATATCATTAATCACAAGATGATCATATGCTGTAGTCCGGTTTACTTGATGGATAAGCACACACTCTGTACAAGGACATGCAATTTGTTCTCCATCTTGTTTTTCAAAAAAGGCATGGTTTATAAACTCCTCTACTCCATCCAAATATTCTTTACTAACTCTATCACAATGCATCCATATTTTATTTCTAGGATTGTCCATCACGTTCAAGATATTCTTATCTTTTGTATAATTGCTGCAAGAGCTAAAAATTTCATTAGTGAAAAGGAGGAATTAACAAAAATGTAGTTCAAATATATAAAATAATCATCCGCGAGAAGCCGCGAACAGTGAAAATGATACATAACACTTAGGACTCCTAAAAGAAATAGGCCCAATCCATAACGTAACATATCATAAACTAAATCAGTCTAGTATTCAAGTTTTGATCCCACAAGGAAGGCATAACAGGAAATGTCTTCCTGATCATCTTCATAATAGATAGCATTCAAACTACCAAAATTACTGAACATTAATCCATTGCATTAAACCAATTCAGATATAAATCATAAAATATACTTTTGGGGTAATTACTGCTATACAGATGCATAGACAATATATACATGGAAAGATTAAAATCATATTTGGAGGCTTTGAATTTGACATGACCGCTGTATATGGACTCCACACGATACAAGATAAAAAGGAGTTGTGGGTTGAGCTGCAGGAAATACATACATCACAGCAGGGGCCATGGTTGATCATGGGTAATTTCAATACCATACTTAGTATTAATGATAGAATGAATGGAAATCCAGTACATGAGAATGAGATTATGGACTTCATTAACTTTCTATAAGACAAATGCGTGACAGAGCTGAAAACTATTGGGAGAGAGTTCACGTGGACAAACAAACATGTCTAGAGTATAAATGCGAAGACATTTCGAATGTCCCTAGCATGCTGCATCTACTATGTATGGAAAGAAAGGAACCAGAGGATATTCCAGAATTATACAAGAACTACCGATATGCTCACCAGAACTATTGTTCAGGAGGTACAAGTCAGGGGAAGTCTGAGGCCAAGTATGCAAGCAAGATTAAAGGAGCTGAAATACTAATATCAAGAGTATACCTTTAGTTCAGCAAAATATTCATGAATACATGTATATGTTTTTAGGAAATACTAATATATTAGTATTGATACCCCGTATACAAAGCAGATTTTGGTTGAAAGCAAAAGTGCACCCCGGTCTTCAAATCCTGGATCCGCCTCTGATTCCTTATAATACGGGCAAATCTCATATTTTTTATTTGGGGTTAGACAGTGTTTATTTGAATTTTTACATGTTATTTGATGTTCACTTAGTAGTTGGCCTTATTCTTTTCCAATGTCAGTTCTTGGATGAGAACAAATCACTAATTCTGAAGATTGTTGAGAGCCAGAACTCTGAGAAACTAAGTGAATGTGCAGAGTAAGTTCAGTATATAATAAGTTCAAAAGTATGGTGACATTGTTAAAACTTGATCATAGAATATAAATTGGTGAGAATTTTTGCTAACTCTTTTGGTATGGAGAATTCAGAAAAGTAAGTTCAGTATATAATAAGAATTCAGAAATCCTTTTAGAAAATTTGAACATGGTTGGATTCATATCTCGACTACCGGCATTCAACTAAAACATCAATATGCATCAACTGACACTTAGAAAATTTCTAAAAAATCACAAAAATAACAGTAGCCTTGAAAACAGAGGAACCAATTCAAAAACAAGAGAGTAACAGAGGAGGAATCAATTCAATCAATCGACTATCAATCTAACAACAACCAGATATCACAAACGACTTAGTAAACACAGAAAAAGCTATACTTTCGCTAATCGCAAAAGGCTGAAAATAAAAATTGGAACCTGGTAAGCAAAAAATTATGCCGATTAANTATATATATATATATATATATATATATATATATATATATATATATATATATATATATATATATATATATATATCATACTCGGACAAAAAGTTTGAACATGGTTGAATTCATATCTCGACTACCGGCATTCAACTAAAACATCAATATGCATCAACTAACACTTAGAAAATTTCTGAAAAAGCCTTGAAAACAAAGGAACCAATTCAAAAACAAGAGAGTAACAGAGGAGGAATCAATTCAATCAATCGACTATCAATCTAACAACAACCAGATATCACAAACGACTTAGTAAACACAGAAAAAGCTATACTTTCGCTAATCCCAAAAGGCCGTAGTTGGGTATCAAAAATCAAGAATCAAAATTGGAACCTGGTAAGCAAAAACTTCTGCCGATTAAGAGCAGAAATTGAAGGAGACGAAGGCTTTCTGCAATAATTCTTGAAACCTACACGAAACAGAAGTTGAAGACGTTCAGGGCGAAGATTGAAGGAGAAGATTGACAGAGAAGAGTGAACACTGATAATAATCGAGCAGCATCAACCCAAAATTATATATAACTCAATCGAGAAAGACCTGGGATGGCCGGAGACCGTGCAGGGCAAAGGTTTTTCAGCGATGTTGCGCAGGTTTTTCGTCGTTCTTCCTATCGTTCTAATTACAGGCGTCGTTCTGTATCATTCTAATTTCAGGGTTTGGTTTTTCCTATTGTTTTTTTAATTGTAGGATTTTCTAATTGGAGGGAATGTAATTTATTGTCCCAAAATATTGGAGGGAAAGATTGTACGGAGGGAAAGTTAAAATAATAAAAAAAATGATTCAATTAGGGATTTTTAGTGGCAATTTTCTTTTATTGTCGTTAAAAATATATCTTTTACTGGCTAATGGTCATGTGCCTCTAATATTTTAGCTTAAATAATTCATTAGTGGCAATTACCTAATTGCCGCTAAAAAATTGCCGCCAAAGACCTTTTTTGTAGCAGTGTCAGAGGATATCCAATAGGGGCCTGCCCACCGATTATAGCTTGATGGTGGTTGAAATACTAAAATACTGTATATATATAGACCCTCTACTCTCTTGACTAGAAGAAGACAATACGTAATTGAATATAAAGTTTCTATGAGGAAGGATACTGTAACTTATGAGACTGATAATGTACACAAGTTCAAGAATATGAACTTCTCTTTATGTTTTGTTATCAAACACATGTAGTTATGGGATCATGCCAAAATGAAGGAAAGGTTTAGCCATAACATACTTTAACCCCGTTGAGTCCTTAGTATCCACTATAACAAAAAGGGGCTTTAGTGGCAATAAAAAATAGCATTGGCGGCAATAACAATAGCCGCTATATCATCTATCGGCAATTGGTGTTTAGCCGCTGAAGCCGGAGTCGGTAAAGCCTTTAGCGATATTTCTGACAAAAGCTGGTAAAAGGTATGACTTATTGCCGCTAAAGCTCATTTTCTTTAACGGCAATTATTTGCGGCAATTATTATGGCTTCTAAACACATTCTAAAAACGGCTAATAATGCTCCTTTAACGTCCATTTTTATAGCTGCTAAATTTAAAATATTTGTTGCTAAAAGTCCATACCTTTAGCGGTAACTATATTGTGGCAATTAGAGTGGCAACAATATCTCTTATAAAAATGTATTAGTATGCCCCTTTAGCGTCCATTTTAATGGCTAGTAAAGTCAATTAAATTGCCGCTAAAAATCATCTTTAATAGCAATATAATGGCTACAATATACCTGTATAAACGTCTTAATCCTGTTAAATTGGCACTAAAAGTCACAAGCTATAACGGTAAGTTTAGCCACCATTAATAATAGCTACTACATTCGACCAAAAAATAATGCAAATAACAAAACATATTAATATTAATTCATAAAATCATAGTATATCTCGTTAAATCTTAACAAAAAAAGGAAGTACTAATCCAAAATATTAATATCACAAAACCTTAAAAAATAACTTATATTCTTTGAAATAAATAGCTAATGTCATTATATAACTAATCTTGATGGATAAGCACACACTCCGTACAAGAACATGCAATTTGTTCTCCATCTTGTTTTTCAGAAAAGGCATGGTTTATAAACTCATCTACTCCATCCAAATATTCTTTACTAACTCTATCACAATGCATCCATCTTTTATTTCTAGGATCTTCCATGACGTTCAATATATTCTTTTTTGTTCTATAATTACTGAAAGAGCTAAAAATTCATTAGTAAAAGAGGGATTAATAAAAAATGTAGTTCAAATAAAATAACCATCTTATTAGTAGGTAATTTCATAGCTCAAAGATATCATTTTAAGAATTAAACTATCAAACAGAAATCCATTAAAACTATCAGTTTAATAATTAAAACTATCAAACAATTAAACTATCTCTAATTTCTTCTATGATTTCATATATTGGTTCATAAACTTTTTAAGAATAGAATTATTAAACTTTTAAATTATACTTCTTCTATGGTTTTCATATATTGGTTCGTAAACTTTTTAAGAATAGAATTATTAAACTTATAAATTATAAAAGTACCATATGTCATGTATTTTAAAATTAAAGATATTGCAATTGTCAAAGCCTCACTATATATGGATATGAGCTAGCTGAATAATTTGCAAATTCAGCAATGATACAGCAATTTGCAATTTTAGAAATCTGAAGGAGGTCATTCAAAGGAATACATTATTTTCTTGAAGTATGATGTGTTATCATCCCTTAAAAAAAGATGATGAACTGTTGTACTACAATCCCTAAGTAAAGCAGAAAAAAGCTGATAGTTTAAACTTTTCTCATGGGTCGAACTTCTTTCTTCACTTCACAAATTATTTATTCTTTCGATAATTTTTCTTTACTTCACTGTTTTGCCACCCTCATAGCGAAAATTGAAGTGTAGATTGTTAGATGAATTGAAAACTTTTTGATTAGTAAAGCCAACAACCTAGCGGAGAAACAGTTAGAGCAAAAGGATCAAATCAGTCAAGCTGAGCATATGCTTATTTCGTACAGAGGCATCAGATTTATGAAAATAAGAAAATCTCGCATCAATTAACAAAAATAAAAAATAGTATATATGTCGGCTAGTGGATTCATATCTCGACTAGTGGTAGATTCAATGAATACATCAATACGCATCGACGACACTTAAAAGTTTTCTGAATAGTCGCAAGAATAACAGTAGCCTTAGAAAATATACAGAGGAATCAATTCATAAAACAGTAGAGGAACAGAGGAGGTATAAACTCAATCAATCGCACATCAATTTAACAAC